CAGACAACTACACCAAGCCAGAGAAGGTTTAACAGGTTTATTTACAATGTTCAATAGTCCAGGTTTCCAATAATAGGGGAAGAGCAAGTCCAGGTTACAGGGAGGGTAACAGATCCAGGTCAGGGCAGGTGTGGTACCGTAATGTCCTAGTGTCCGTGGTGAGTCCAAAAGGGAGGTCCGGTAGTGGAAAGCAGGATGGTGGTGGCAGGAGTGAAGCGGAGGCAGGAGTCAGGTTCCAATAATCTGTGGCACAGGAGAAAAGTAAATAGAACAGGCCAAAAACACAAAGAGCGAAAACAAACAGGTTGAGTCGACAGCGAGACTAACATGGTCGTCTTGACTATGATCTGACGATGAGTGGCAAGTTTGACCGGGTCTTAAAGGCTGAGGTGATTATGGTGAATGAGCTGCAGCTGGAACCCTGACTCCCGCACACCAGACTTCACTCCTGCAATCAAGGACAGACAGAGGGGAGGGGGAGAGCAGAGAGAGAGCTACCTAGCAGCAGTAGGCCTAACAGTAAATATTGTTCTTCTTCTTCTTTTGTTATTATCAGCTAAGCCATTACAATTATAACTGGCTATACTTATTTCACCATACACCATAATGAGATACAAGTTTCAAGTCTATTTATCATTATATATATTTGTAAATTTACCAATAAAAAATACCATAATGATTGAGTGTCCATATAGCTGTACCATGATATTTGCATTGCTACTGAGTAACCCTTCAATTGTTCTCCACTAATTCCCCCGCTAAAGCCCCTCCCCATCCCAAGTTGAGCCGTCATCCCACCCACATCCCTCCGGATCCCTAAGGCCCCGAGAGGCCAGGACCCATCCATCGAAAACAGCACACAGTGCCACCCACAAAACAGAAGCAGATTAACCGCCAAAAGCATTTCCAACGCTGTCACCTCTATATATATATATATATATATATAACTATTTAAAAAAAATAACGCATATCCTATTTTCCATCATTATCAATTCATATGCGTAATAATGTCGGCAATTCATGCGTAGGATTTTAACATATAACCCGGATTGCTATTGTATTACATTTAATTTATTGACAAGCAATTATTATCCTAGCAAATAATTCCCATGGTCCATCCCATACCCTCCCCCCCAACATCCCCACCCCCCCACAACAGATGCCGGACAAACACACACGCACATACTGACATACTCCAACACACTCAAACCCCCTCCTCCACAATCCACCATAAAATCAGATACTCAACGGCTGTTATATCCCAGAGCCCAGCTCAAGAAAGGACCTGATTTACGAGTGCACATACAGTTACAGCTGATTGATAAAGCATGCAGAATGAGCAGAAATTGACAATAGGTGCCCTTCTTTGCGAGGCATTGGAAAACCTCCCTGGCCTTTGTGGTTGTATCTGTGTTTGAAATTCACTGCTAACTGAGGGACCTTACAGATATTTGTATGTGTGGGGTACAGAGAAGAGGTAGTCATTCAAAAATCATGTTAAACACTATTACTGCACACAGAGTGAGTCAATGCAACATATTATGTGAGTTGTTAAGCACATTTTTACTCCTGAACTTATTTAGGCTTGTCATAACAAAGGGGCTGAATACTTGTTGACTCAAGGCATTTCAGCTTCTAATTTTGTATTATTTATTTTGTATTATTGAGATTTTTTTTCTTCCCAAAGTTGACATTATGTGGTATTGTGTGTAGGCCAGTGACAAAACATCTTCATTTAATCCATTTTAAATTCAGGCTGTAACATAACAAAATGTGGAAAAAGTCAAGTGGTGTGAATACTTTCTGATGGCACTATATGTGTGTTTGTGTGTATGTATGTGTGTGTGTGTGTGTCTTTGCCTTTGCCTCTCAGTATCTCAGTACTGCGGCATCCCTCTCTCTGTGGCCTTTCGTTTTCTACTCTCTGTAGCGACCGTATCACGTTACTTTATGCTGCAACCACCTCTTCTCGGTCACTGTTTTGTGTTCATTTGGGTCATGTACACAGTACATTTACATTTTAGTCATTTAGCAGACGCTCTTATCCAGAGCGACTTACAGTTAGTGAATACATATTCTTTTTATACTGGCCCCCCGTGGGAATCGAACCCACAACCCTGGCGTTGCAAACGCCATGCTCTATCAACTGAGCTACATCCCTGCCGGCCATTCCCTCCCCTACCCTGGACGACGCTGGGCCAATTGTGCGCCGCCCATGAATCTCCCGGTCGCGGCCGGCTGCGACAGAGCCTGGATTCGAACCAGGATCTCTAGGTGTGTGTACTGTACATGTGTATACTGTGATAACCCACAGTGGGAAGAGTTTATATTTGTTTATGTACTGTATGTACAGTACCAGTAAAAAGTTTGGACACACCTACTCATTCCAGGGTTTTTCTTTATTTTTACTATTTTCTACATTGTAGAATAGTAGTGAAGACATCAAATCTATGAAATAACACATATGGAATCATGTAGTAACCAAAAAAGTGTTAAACAAATCTAAATATATTTGAGATGCTTCAAAGTAGCCAGCCTTTGGCTTGATGACAGCTTTGCACACTCTTGGCATTCTCTCAACCAGCTTCATGAGTTAGTCACCTGGAATGCATTTCAATTAACAGGTGTGCCTTGTTAAAAGTGAATTTGTGGAATTTATTTCCTTCTTAATGTGTTTGAGCCAATCAGTTGTGTTGTGACAAGGTATGGGGGGTATACAGAAGATAGCCCTATTTGGTAAAAGACCAAGTCCATATTAAGCAAAGAGAAACGACAGTCCATCATTACTTAAGACATGAAGGTCAGTCAATATGGACAATTTCAATAACTAAAGTATCTTCAAGTGCAGTCGCAAAAAACATAAATTGCTATGATGAAACTGGCTCTCATGAGGACTGCCACAGGAATGGAAGATCCAGAGTTACCTCTGCTGCAGAGGATAAGTTCATTAGAGTTACCAGCCTCAGAAATTGAAGCCCAAATAAATGCATCACAGAGTTCAGACACAAGTCAACATCAACTGTTCAGAGGGGACTGTGTGTATCATGCCTTCATGGTCGAATTGCTGCAAAACCACTACTAAAGGACACCAATAAGAAGAAGAGACCTGCTTGGGCCAAGAAACACGAGCAATGGATATCAGACCGGTGTAAATGTGTCCTTTGGTCTGGAGTCCAAATGTGAGATTTTTGGTTCCAACCGCCGTGTCTTTGTGAGACACGGTGTGGTTGAACGGATGATCTCCGCATGTGTATTTCCCACCGTAAAGCATGGAGGAGGAGGTGTTATGGTGTGGGGTTGCTTTGCTGGTGACACTGTCTGTGATTTATTTAGAATTCAAGGCACACTTAACCAGGATGGCTACCACAGCATTCTACAGCGAAATGCCATCCAATTTGGTTTGGGCTTAGTGGGACTATCATTTGTTTTTCAACAGGACAATGACCCAACACACCTCAGGCTGTGTAGGGGCTATTTGACCAAGAAGGAGAGTGATGGTGTGCTGCATCAGATGACCTGGCCTCCACAATCCCCCTACCTCAACCCAATTGAGATGGTTTGGGATGAGTCGGACTGCAGAGTGAAGGAAAAGCAGCCAACAAGTGCTCAGCATATGTGGGAACTCCTTCAAGACTGTTGGAAAAGCATTCCAGGTGAAGCTGGTTGAGAGAATGCCAAGAGTGTGCAAAGCTGTCATCAAGGCAAAGGGCGGCTATTTGAAGAATCTCAAATATAAAATATATTTAGATTTGTTTAACACTTTTTTCTTTGCTACATGATTCCATATGTGTTATTTCAAAAACTCTTGATTGAGTAGGTGTGTTCAAACTTTTGATTGGTAGTGTATGTGCGAGTATGAATTTTGTTCTAGCCAAAGATTTTCGGTTAATCTTTCGTTAGTCTCTAGTGTGTCCCATGATTCAAGGCTGTGTCTGACGTGTATTCCTGTGTGTGTGTATGAGAGTCCAGGCCGGGATTGTCTAAGGTTTCGACCAGACTGTACTGAGTGGAACAGAGATGTAGGAGGTCTAAACTGGCCGCTGTTTCACTATTTATACAACAGCTAAGCGAAGATGGGGCCTGAAATTTTGATTCACAGTGACTCTCCTCACTACAGCTGTGGAATGCATCATACAACACATTTGGTCTTTATCTGATTCACAACACCTGTTTAACAAAGCAAGACTCTGATCCCACTTATGACATCACCACATATCATATAAATAGATATCTTTACTGTGTATCATGCTTTAAAAAGAATGATGTCACATCTGATGTGGTTCTGACATCACATCGAGATCACAGATGTGTGTTGTATACATGGCTGTTACGAGAAGAGAGATTCACATCCCTATGCTTCCCTCACTCAAAATATCACACGTGTTCACTCTAAACATAGCCCTACATTCATGGGTTTGTAGACCAATCCCATAACTGCTGAGACACTGGAATAGTGACTAATGGATGTTTTTAACTTGAACGCGACATGGTCAAATCCTCATAAGATAATTAGTGACAATATTTGTAACTATTTCTATTGATACTTTATATTCAAAATCACAGGCATGGATAGATTATAGAGCTTATGTTATGCCAGAGAATTTAGTTAACTGTATCCCTCTCCTTGTTATTTTCTGTCTTTGTCTCCTTGTTTCCTCTCCTCTGTCCTTGTCCCCTTGTTTCCTCTCCTCTGTCTTTGTCTCCTTGTTTCCTCTCCTCTGTCCTTGTCCCCTTGTTTCCTCTCCTCTGTCTTTGTCTTCTTGTTTCCTCTCCTCTGTCCTTGTCCCCTTGTTTCCTCTCCTCTTTCTTTGACTCCTTGTTTCCTCTCCTCTGTCTTTGTCTCCTTGTTTCCTCTCCTCTGTCTTTGTCTCCTTGTTTCCTCTCCTCTGTCTTTGTCTCCTTGTTTCCTCTCTTCTGTCTTTGTCTCCTTGTTTCCTCTCCTCTGTCCTTGTCCCCCTGTTTCCTCTCCTCTGTCTTTGTCCCCTTGTTTCCTCTCTCAGGACCGTAAACTGACTAAAGCGGAGCGTCAGAGATTTAAGGAGGAGGCAGAGATGTTGAAGGGTCTCCAGCACCCCAACATTGTGCGTTTCTATGACTTCTGGGAGTCACCGGTCAAAGGGAAGAAGTGCATCGTTCTTGTGACAGAGCTCATGACCTCAGGGACACTAAAAACGTGAGACAAACACAACCAACAGCATGCCCTCCCTCCCTCCCTCCCTCCCTCCCACACAACAGTGCTGAGCTTAACATTAAACACAAGGTCAGGTATAACCTCCTTCCTAAGCTGTTCTTATGAAATTAAAAAATAGTAACTTTCCAAAAGGGAAAATTCCACTGGTTGAAAGTTTTCATTGAATTAATTAGTTCCTCCACATTTTGATTCATAGTTGAATGATAGTTGTTCATTATCAGATGGATTGTAATGGTAGTGGTCGTGATGACGATGAAAATCATGATGATGATGGTCTGTTCTTCATCCTCCAGGTATCTGAAGCGTTTTAAGGTGATGAAGCCCAAGGTTCTGAGGAGCTGGTGTCGACAGATCCTGAAGGGCCTCCACTTCCTCCACACCAGGACCCCTCCCATCATCCACAGGGACCTGAAGTGTGACAACATCTTCATCACCGGCCCCACCGGCTCCGTCAAGATTGGAGACCTGGGATTGGCTACGCTCAAGAGGGCGTCCTTCGCCAAGAGTGTCATCGGTGAGGATGAGGAATCATGCTCTTTCATGCTCTGCTTGGAAGGGTCGTAAATACATCACTTGTAAAAGAGTATGGAATCTATACTGTAACTATGTATTTAATGGATTATGACAGTACTTCTGTTGAGACCTGAAAGGCTGTTTGTGAATTCATTGAGCCTCTTTTGGATGGTTATATGTGAATTAGCTTAACATTTTTATCATCTTAGCGTGAGTGTGTGCCAGTGTGTAAGGGAAAACCTTCTGTTTCTTTCTGAAGGAGCCCTGTAACTCTTGTGACCTTTGCCCTTTGCCCTCTCCCCTGACCTCTGCTGTCCCAGGCACCCCAGAGTTCATGGCCCCTGAGATGTATGAGGAGCACTATGATGAGGCGGTGGACGTCTATGCCTTTGGGATGTGTATGTTGGAGATGGCCACCTCAGAATACCCATACTCCGAGTGCCAGAACGCTGCTCAGATCTACCGCAAAGTCACCAGCGTGAGTCCAGCGAGTCCATCTTCAATCCTATCTATCACCCACACCATTGCTAGCACCTATGTTTTCATACTAGTACTAACTCACCCACCCCATTACTATCGCCAATGTTTACTTACTAGCACAAACAGCAAAGCCATACAGATCTACAGTGAATAATCCAAAAGGTTACCATGGTGATGCAAGCTGTTAGTACTAACAAAACAAACCTACATAAGGTCACAGATACAGGCTCCTACAGAGTCACTCAAAAAGTAAGTAACTCTAAGTAGCACTAATGTTATCATAGAGACGCCAGTATGAATGAAGTGCACAGGAGGCTGGTGGGGAGAGGACGGCTCATAATAATGGCTGGAATGTAGTGAATGGAATGGAATGTGTTTGATACCAATCCATTAATTCTGTTCAGCCATTACTATGAGCCCGTCCTCCCCAATTAAGGTGCCACCATCAACCTGTGATGAAGTGTGCTTTTTGAAGAACAACCCAGAAGAAGAAGTTACAGTACAGAGAAGGTTTAAAGGGATGTTTAATCATCAAGCTATCAGAATTTGTTAGCAGTCCTTTCAACAATGATAATTAAGTTATATTTCTGTCTTTGAACGTCTATATGGCTTAAGGAGAGCATGTCTGTGTCTCAAATGACATGTTATTCCTTACATAGTGTACTACTTTTGATTTACTTTTGTTCAAAAGTAGTGAAGTACATAGGGAATAGGGTGCCATTTGGAACGCAGTCAATGTGTTTTTCCAGAGGGAGCTTCCTGCCACCGCTTTCCTCTCTGGAGTAAAGTAGCAGCAGCTGCAGCAGTAACTAATCACTTCTCATTGGAGTGTAGTTGTCTGAGAGAGACGACCACGTCACTGCACCGCGGGGAGTCTGTTCTTAATGGGGTGTAACATTTGTCAGCCATCTTACTCCTGTTACAAATAATGCAGGTCGCACGCTGTGTGTGTAGTTGTTTTTGTGACTGTGTGACTCAGTGCAAGACTGTGTGAGACATCACCTGATATTCGTGGACTCCAGGAAGAGTAACTGTCGCAACTGGGGATCCAAACAATAAACAAATGTTCTTCATATTTGTCATCATGAAGATTGTTCTTGTTTTTGCATCTGAATGTGAATGTGAGTGTCAGGGTGAGAATGTTTGAGATGTCATATGATATTCTTCATACTTGTCATCGTGAATATAGTTGTTCTTTGTGTCTGGCATCTCTAGGGGGTGAAGCCTGCCAGCTATGATAAGATCAGTGACCCAGAGATTAAGGAGATCATCGGGGAGTGTATCTGCCATCGGCGGGAAGAGAGGTAAGTGGACAGAGTCGAGTCCATCTGTAAAGTAAAGAACTGTGCAGATAGAGAGCATTAAATGGTCAAAACCAACACATGCGCACAACACACACATACACATGACACACACATACACACCACACACCCACACACACGGTCGCCCTGTCGCTATGTCCTAGCCAACTTTGCATAAGCATTTCCCTAAACCTTTTATACAAGCTGTGTTCGTGACGAATAAACACACACACACTGTTTCTGTCCTGAGGTATGACGTTGGTGCCAGTATTTGGGTCTGCTGCTGTTGATGTTTCTACGTGTACTGACATTTCACATCAGTGGTTCCGAGTGACACCATAACCTTTGCACAGCAGCAGCGTTGCGTGTGCGTATGTGTGTATGTGTGTGTGTAAACGTGTGTACGTGTGTGTGTATACTGTACTAGTCCCCTGTAGCTCAGTTGGTAGAGCATGGCGCTTGCAACGCCAGGGTTGTGGGTTCGTTTCCCATGGGGGGCCAGTATGAAACATGTATGCACTCACTAACTGTAAGTCGCTCTGGATAAGAGCGTCTGCTAAATGACTAAAATGTACTGAATGTGTGTTGTCATCAGGTACACCATAAAGGACCTCTTGAACCATGCCTTCTTTGCGGAGGACACGGGCGTGAGGGTGGAGCTGGCCGAGGAGGATGATGGGAAAAAGAGTTCCATCGCCCTCAAGGTGTGGGTGGAGGACCCCAAGAAGCTGAAGGGGAAGTACAAGGACAGCGGGGCCATTGAGTTCACCTTTGACCTGGAGAAAGAGACCCCAGAGGGTGTGGCCCAGGAGATGGTGAGTAGCCGAGCCATATGTAGAGATTCTATACGGCTCTGGTGGTGAGTAGGGTTCACATTATCATGGCTCAGAAACGGTTGATGTATTTGCAGTGCCAGTTGCAGAGTATGATATGGCTATATGATGTAGATTGAGAAACAGAACCATAAACACACTTTATTTAGTCAAAATAAAAATAAATGTTCTATGATAAGGGAAAGGTTGTAGCTTTTTATTTTGATCTAGCCACTTGGGGTGTCCTCATGGAAAGCTACTCTGTCCTCTAGAGTGTAGTGTCTGTCACTCTCTGTGCTCTATGGTGACCTTGGTTTCGGCTGTTCTGTGCAGACTACATCTCCCAACATGCCTCTGGGGGCTGGGGGATGGGGGATGTTGTGCAATTGGTGATAGTCATGAAATAGTGTTTTAGAGATTCCAGTCAGACTGCACAGAATCACTGGTCTACAAATAACCTCGAATCCCATGTAAATGTAGAACTACTCATTATAGATCAAGATCAGTGATTCTACACCTCGCCTTGCTCAAACTGATCTTCCTCAAACATGCTGAAAGACTTGATCTCATGTTACAGTAACCTCCTCGTCCGTTCCTAAACAGTAACAGACTCATCTCCACAACACTCTCCTGATATAATGAGCTATTATGTAATCAGTAAATCGTCATTGGTTTCGTGGTTGGGCCGGTATGATCCAGGAAGGTATTGATTTAAATCACAACTACCAGTCAGTCCGGTTGACCCTGCCTGACCCTGTGTCCCATCTGAGAGCTGTGGGGTGGGGAGAGGCAACCTTTTATCTTTGTGTGACTGTGACACAAAGATAGACAGACAACTGATGTCCCTAAAATTCTAATTTCCACATTAGTTTATATGCGGCCCTGTTTAGTGATAACCTGTCTGCTGTAGATGGAGTCAGGTTTCTTAGTGATAACATCTGTCTTGTTTTGTCCTGTCCTATCCTGTCATGCCCTGCCCTGTCTGCATTGCCCTGCCATGTCATGTCCTGTCCTGTCTGCATTGCCCTGCCCTGCCATGTCCTGCCCTGTCCTGTCCTGTCTGCATTGCCCTGCCATGTCCTGTCCTGTCTGCATTGCCCTGCCATATTGCCCTGTCCTGTCCTGTCTGCATTGCCCTGCCATATCCTGCCCTGTCCAGTCCTGTCCTATTCTGTGTCATGCCCTGTCCTGTACTATTCTGTGTCCTTCCCTGTCCTGTCCTATTTTGTGTCCTGTCCTGTCCTATTCTGTGTACTGTCCTGCCCTGTCCTGGTCTATTCTGTGTCCTGTCCTGTCCTGTCCTGTCCTCTGCAGGTGGACTTGGGGTTCTTCTTAGTTTAGTGATAGCAAAGACAATTTAGCGAAAGACCCTAAACAGTAGAGAAGATGAATGGAGAAATGCGTAACATTTGGAGCATGGGGATTCTTGACCAATCACGTTCACGTTGTCATGCTGCGTCACACAGCACTCCCTTCAGTGCTTAGTTTAGTGATAACCTCTGTTGTAGTTGGAGTCAGCGTTCTTCCAGGACTGTTTATAGATAACGCCTCTGTTGTAGGTGGAGTCAGGTTTCTTCCTGGACAGCGATGTGAAGATAGTAGGAAAGTCCATCAAGGACCGAGTGGCTCTAATCAAATGGAGGAGGGAGCGGACCGTCCCTGCAGTCGAGACCCAGACCCAGAAACTGCTACAGGTTTGTGCTTTTTGTCTTTGTTGATGTTGGTGTTTAATTTGTTCCTTTATTTGTCTGTCTGAATCAATGTTATCATATTATTATTAACCAAATATTTACATTAAACAACCCTGCTGCAGGTGCCCAGCATGGGGGTACCACCACAGGGGGCTCCACTGGCCCCAGCAGAGTCAGAGGAGGAAGAAGGTGACCAGCCCCTTCTCCTGCTCTGCAGCCTGCCGGCCCACACCACCTCGGCCACATGTAAGAACCTGACTGCAGCCTCTATTCTAATAGCAAAGACAGAGACACAGGCAAACAACAAACAAATAAAGAAAGAAACACATAGACAAATGTGCATACAAGAAAACTGACAAACACTTAATGTAACTGAAACACACACACACTGCTCACCTTCTGTTGAGGCAGGGCCGATCTGTTCAAAGTAATCCAGATGTAAGAATCTCTACAGGGCTTATAGATTACGGGTAATGACATAGAGGGACATGATGGCAGATCTGTGTGTGTGTGTGTGTGTGTGTGTGTGTGTGTGTGTGTGTGTGTGTGTGTGAGAGAGAGAGAGAGACTGCTGCAGGGTGTGAATAGCACCAGTGACTCAGCTCTGAGTCATCTCCCAGCTTTTGAATTCTAATGATGCTTAGTCTCTCTGTTTCATTCTTTCTTACTCTCTCTCTTTCGCTATCTCTTTCTCTCTCTCTCTCTCTTTAAATTCAATTCAAGGGCTTTATTGGCATGGGAAACATATGTTTACATTGCCAAAGCAAGGGAAATAGATAATAAACAATACAAAGTTATGACCAGTAAACATTACACTCACAAAAGTTCAAGTACAAAAGGGAAAATAAATAAACATAAATATGGGCTGTATTTACAATGTTTGTTCTTCACTGGTTGCCCTTTTCTTGTGGCAACAGGTCACAAATCTTGTTGCTGTGATGGCACACTGTGGTATTTCACCGAATAGATATGGGAGTTTATCAAAATTGGGTTTGTTTTCAAATTATTTGTGGGTCTGTGTAAACTGATATGGTCATACATTTGGCAGGAGGTCAGGAAGTGCAGCTCAGTTTCCACCTCATTTTGTGGGTAGTGTGCACATAGCCTGTGTTTTCTTGAGAGCCAGGTCTGCCTACGGCGGCCTTTCTCAATAGCAAGGCTATGCTCACTGTCTGTACATATTCAAAGCTTTCCTTAAGTTTGGGTCAGTCACAGTGGTCAGGTATTCTGCCACTCTGTACTCTTTGTTTAGAGCCAAATAGCATTGTAGTTTGCTCAGTTTTTTTGTTAATTCTTTCCAATGTGTCAAGTAATTATATTTTTGTTTTCTCATTATTTGGTTGGGTCTAATCTCTGCCACTCCCTCCATTATTTGAGGTTGGCATAATGTTTTCTCCACACTGTTCCCTATTATTCTAGACAGTCAGCACAGTGCCCTCTACCAGTCCCTCCCAGAGCCCATATCTACACCCCAGGACTACAGCCCCCCTGTGCAGTCCCAGGCCCAGCTGCACCAGGGGGCCTACCAGCAAGCCACCACTCAGCTGCACCAGGGGGCCTACCAGCAACCTACAGCACAGCTGCACCAGGGGGCCTACCAGCAACCTACAGCACAGCTGCACCAGGGGGCCTACCAGCAACCTACAGCACAGCTGCACCAGGGGGCCTACCAGGCTCCTACTGTAAGTTCTCTCACACAAAATTCCCCATTGTCTCAAACTCATATGTCAAAACTCATTATTTAAAATGTATTCTCACGGCAAGTGTCAGACATTCCCTTTCTATCTCTCTAGCTCCTAGTTTATTTTGTGTTTTGGGTAGTATCTTTGTAAAGACAAACATGTTTATGTTTATGTTTATGTTTTCTTTTGTCCGATCGACCTGAGCAGTGCTACTTCAGTGAGCCCTTTGCATCTCAGAAAACTCTTCTCTCCCCTGAGAGGGCAGAAGATTGGTTTGTTGGTTGTGGGACCAATGAGAGGACAGTGAGTTGTGGCGGGACAAATCAGTGCGCTAGGTGTGGAAGCACCTCCTTGATTGACATGTGCAGGGCCCACTCTCTCCCTAAGCCACTGAGTCGTTCTCCCTGCCACCTCCTGCCCCAAACGAGACAGAGCCGAGAACGGGATGAAAACTCAGAGGAGCGCGCAGCAGCATCCCTCCCCCTCCCACTCAGGATCCTGTCCCCTCCCCCTCCCCCTCAGGATCCTGTCCTGTCCCCTCCTCCTCCCCCTCAGGATCCTGTCCTGTCCCCTCCCCTGTCCCAGCACCATCAGTATTCCTACCATGACTCAATCAATCAATCAGTCAATCACCCCCATCCTGCCATCCTGGTTACAAAGCCCATACAACGCCCCTCTGACCTCCCCCTGCCCCACTCCCACCCCTACTCCTGCAGGGCCTGTGCAAGCTTTGACCTTCTACTGAGGACCAGGATGGAGGCTGGGGAGTCTCTAGGCCACCCCAACATGCCCCCCCTCCTTCCCTCTCCCCAGTGCTCACCAGTCCACACGCCCTCCCCAATCTCCCCCCACCTCCTCTCACTGCTCAATCTCCCTCCAATCACCTCCTCCCTATCTGATCCTCCATCTTCCTTCTGGACCACACCCTCACATCTTGCCCCACCTCCTTACCTATTGGTCCGCTCCTCTAGTGGAGGTCTGTCCCTGCTCAACCACTGTCTAAGCCACATTGTCAGTCGCAGGAGCAGCTCCCCAACACCGATAGACACCCCGTACCGGCCCAGTCAAAGCTATGGAAAGGCTGGGCTTCGCAGGACCAGCTCCCCTATACCCCCAGACACTGGGGCCTACTGGTCCGGCCAAAGCCAGCCCACCTCTCCTGTGCCTGAGCATTCTAATCAAGACCAGGGCTTGGGCCTGGGCCTGAGTTTGGAAAAGGCTCAGCTTCTATCACCACATGACAGCGAAGGCAGACCAGGTGGTCCAGGTGGCTCAATGGTAGGTCAGGGATATGACAGGCTTGATTGAACTTTGACCCTGCCCAGTCGTTGCCATAGCAACACCCGACCTAGCTGCAGCAGGGGCATGGGGCTGGTTCTTCTTTCTGCTTTGCTCAGCTTCCTCTGTCCCTCCCATGATGACCAAGCGCAACATTACTTCCCAATCCCAAATCCACCCCTAATAGGATTGCAAAATTCCGGTAACTTTCCCAAATTTCCCAGGTCTTCCAGAAATCCTGATCGGAGGATTGCACATTTCCTGCTTATTCCCTCCTGATTCTGGGAATCTTCCCACTGCGATTTCTGGAAAACCTGGGAATGTTGGGAAAGTTACTGAACACTAACCCCTAGCCTCAGGCGTAACATTGATGTTCTATCTGCTTCTGTTCACTCCTCAGCAGACAGAGAATGGCTTGGATGACTATTTCTTCTATGATATGATGGATCAGCTGTGTAGATCTCCTTACTACTGCAACAGCCCCTTCCCTTTATCCTGCAGTTTCCAGCAGCAATATCAACCCTGCTCACAATTATTCATTCCCTTGTTGCTCCTGTGAAGGAACATTGCTCAATTGAAGATGCTGATGATTTTTTGTCTTGGGCTCAATGTTCATTTTCTTCTCCAGATTATTGTTCTATATGATGTGTTCTACATCATCTTAGTCATAAACTGAAAGCCAGCCTTTTCCGCTGTGTGTTCCAGCCCAGTGCAGGGTTGATCCAGCCCCAGCCTGTCTCTGCTCCAGCCACCCCAGGGCCTACAGTACATCAGAGCAGACCAGCTGCAACACAGAGCTTCCCAGCTGCTGCCCCTGTCCCCACTGTACAGGCAAAGACACAGCTCATTGCTTCTGCCCAGCCCAACCAGGAGGTAAGGGTCTGTTCTGAATCCAACACTTAGGTGTGAATGTGTGTTTGTGTATGTGCGTGCATGTGTGTACCTATGAGTGTGTAGCTATGAGAAGTGATAGTTTATGGGACTCTCATTGACAAAATCTTGGCTGTCCAGTCAGATGCTGTCTGTCCCCAGGCTTCTGTTCAATGAGCAGAGATAAAGGTGGCTGTGATGTTTGTTGTTCTCAGCTGTAAGTACAGTATATTCACACATTGACAAGCCCTGTGGTGTGTATGTGTGAGCCCAGAGCCTTGTGTGTGTGTGTGTGGGTGTGTTTAACTATACATGTGGGGACCAGAAGTCCCCACAAGAATAGTAAAGCAAGAGAAAAATGACAACTGGGGACATTTTGTTGGTCCCCACGAGGTCAAATGCTATTTCTAGGGAGTGTATGGTTAAGGTTAGAATTAGTGTTAGGGTTAGAATTAGGTTTAGGGTTAGGGTTAGGAGATAGGGATAGTTTTAGGGTTAGGGTTAGGAGCTAGGGTTAGGTTTAGGTTTAGGTTTAGGGTTAGGAGATAGGGATAGTTTTAGGGTTAGGGTTAGGAGCTAGGGTTAGGTTTAGGGTTAGGGTTAAGGTTAGGTTTTTGGGTTAGGGTAAGGGTAAGGGTACGGGTTAGGGTTAGGGTTAGGGTTAGGGGTTAGGGAAAATAGTATTTTCAATGGAACTGAATTGTATGTCCCCACAAGGTTAGCTGTACAAGATTGTGTGTATGTGTGCGTGCGTGCATGTGTGTTTGTGGGTGGGTGGGTGTGTGTGCATATGTGTTTGTGGCTAACTAGACCCGATGACAGAGTGTGTGTGGTATGTGTACCAGATAGACAGACAGACAGACAGATACGGCTGTTTGCCAACCAGACTTGGTGACAGGACAGGCAGAGTGTTCGAGGCAGTAGATTATGTTTGTGGAACAGGACAGATCTAGATGTTCAATTAACTTTGTCATTAGGTTTACTCACCCTGCCTGTCTGGCTCTCTCTCTCCCCTCTCCTCTCTCCCCCATCTCTCTCTCTCTCTCCCCTACCACAGTTGTCTGTCAGTCAGCCTCTACCTGAGCAGTGCTCTGACATCACCACCAGTCTTGTCCAATCAGCTGCCTCCCTGGTCAGCAGTGCTCCTCCCCCTCAACAGCAGCCTGCCCAAGCCACACCCCCTCTCCAGCCACTGCAGCTCAACAGACAGGTGGGCAGTAGATAGTCTCGCTTGATAGACTCATGACGCTCAAGCAACACAGATATATCATATAGATTTGATCATAACTGTAAAAGCACAATCCATAAGCAAGTAATACGTAATGAGAGTAACATGTAAGAATTCTGGTCAAAAAGTGCCCTGGAGGACTGACAGCGAGGGAAGGTCTTTGTGAGTGCACACGTACTGCAAAACCAATGAAGAAGAGGAACAAGGTGCACTCCATGGTGAAAATCGAACATCTTGTTTTGGTTGTTTGTTTTTGTTTCAGGTTGATTGTGTTTGTAGTTTGTATTGTGCCACTGGGGACACAGAACTTATGGATTGGGCCTTTAATTAATTAATAAAGATCAGGGGTTGTGTTCACACCTAATCTAAACTGATGCCTGTGGACAACAGAGAGATTAAAGCTGTGTGTTTATTACGTTCTCATTATGTTTATTTAGCTTTTTTTTCTTTCCTAGCTTCCCTCCTCGCCATACCCTGCCATGGGGGGGACCCCAGGCGGATGCGAGCCCGTCCTCTACTCCCCAGCTCCTCTGTGCCCCTTCTACCCCCACAGGATTGACCTCCCTGTACCTGGTTCCCCCAGCCCCTATTACTCTCCTGTGCCCTCCCTGACCACCGTTGGCACCCCCCAGACCCCAGTGTCCCTGGCCCAACCACCCCAGCAGACGCTAGGCATGGCAGTACCCGTCCCCCTGCTTGCCATGACCCTGCCCCCTAGGATGCCCCAACAGCAGCCCTGGCATCAGCAGGTCTATCCTGCCACCCCTCAGCAAGACCTCCCCCCTCTCCAACCCTCTCACCCCCTGCCCCTCTCCCAGGTACAACCTACAGCCCCCCCTGCCCCCCTCCCTGAGAAACACGTGGCAGATCAACCTCTCCAGGTGAATATTCTAATCAGTGCTCACTGTAGGGTTGTACATTTCCAGTAATTTCTCCCAAATTACCTAGTTTTCCAGAAATCCCGGTTGGAAGATTCCCAGAATTAGGAGAGAAGGAGTAAGGAAATTCGGAATCCTCTAACCAGGATTTTTGGATTTCTGGTAATCTGTGGAAAGGTACAGGAATTTTGCAACCGTAGCTCACTGTGATGCCTGAAACACAGGAAACCTCCCAAATACATTACATAAACTGTGTTTACTAAAACTTCCGAATATGTTGGCTTTACATTTTGACTTTATGTTGGAATGTAGACACTAAGACAAGGACAGTAGCACAGTTCAGAAAACACTTTTGGATGAACTAGTAGGTTGTACCATAGAATTGGAACCTCTAACCCTGGCAATTTGACTGGCAAACTCATGGGTACACTCGCAATGGCTGGCTGGTATTGTGATGCAATAATTTCCATGGTAATGTAGAATGTTCATTCAAATGATGCTATCTGATGTGGCTCATGCAATGGAATGTATTTTTGTAGTGTCAGTTGAGTTGATTCAACAAATCACAGCAAAGATTTATGAGTAGACTTCCTGCTTTTACTTCCTGCTTTTAATTCCTTCTTCACTCCTGTGGGTACACTCCCGATGGCCGCCAGTCCACCCATTATGCCATCATTGACTTGAATGTGGACGCCCGTTCCATTCCTTCTATTTCCAACTAGCACTCACAGTCTCATGTCAGAATTAGACATTCATCAATGTTTCTCAAACATCACATTTCGAAGTTGTTGCAAATGTCAAATTTGGAAGTGTATAAGGTTAAGTTTAGGCATTAACTCCGAAATCTTAAGGTTAGGCATTAACTCAGAATGTTTAAGGTTTGTGGTCCTCTGTAGCTCAATGTTTGTGGTCCTCTGTAGCTCAATTGGTAGAGCACGGCGCTTGTAACGCCAGGGTAGTGGGTTCGATCCCCGGGACCACCCATACGTAAAAATGGCATATTATTATTATTATTAAGGTTTGGGATAGGCTTAAAATAGCGTTGCCCCTAGTGGCCGGTTTCCACGTCATCTCCCGACGTCCTCAGACATGGATGGATTTCGAATACTGACTTGTATCAAGGGTGACCTGGCTGTCTATTTCTATGGATTGTACAGTTTTAGCAGCAGTAGCAAAAAATATTCTGTAATACCTAAGTTATTCCTCCCTCCAGATCCAGTCTGGTGCCCCTCAGGACCCCCAGGGAGAGGCTCCGGTGTCAGCCCTGGCCGCGCTCCACCCCGTCCAGCCTGCCGTCCTGTTCCCTCCCTGGAGGGGGGAGGTGGTGGACCCCAACCCTGTTGCTGCAGCCAGGTCCGATCAGACACTCCCTGAGAACCCAGCCCCGGCCCCACCCCTGGCTTCGGCCCCGACTCTGGCTGGAGCCCTGCAGCCGCAAGGCACCCAGAAAGCAGCCCCAGTGCCTGACGGTGCCAGCCTGCCCACGACTCAGCAGAACCTGGACACTGCGTCCATATCTACCTCTTCCCAACCTGAGGCCAGCCAAGAGGTAGGTAGCTACACACACAGTTCCCTACAGTTCCCTACAGTCCCCTACAGTTCCCTACAGTCCCCTACAGTTACCTACAGTTCCCTACAGTTACCTACAGTTCCCTACAGTTACCTACAGTTCCCTACAGTTACCTACAGCTCCTTACAGTTCCCTACAGTTCCCTACAGTCCCCTACAGTTACCTACAGTTCCCTACTGTCAGGGCGTGCTGTAGGTGCAATGGTGGAATCAAACGCAGGACTCAGAACGATATTCCAATCTCTTGTATTACTGCCCATACATAGGCAAAAAGGACAACTTGGCCCGAAGGCGAAAATTACGCACAACGGCGAAAAGAAACAGCGCACAAACAGGTGCGACAAAATGTAACCGCGCACAAACAGGTGCGACCAAATGTAACCGCGCACAAACAGGTGCGATAATACTCCAGAGTAGTGGAGAGAAGCTCAACCGAGCAATACACACAACTGACGGAAAATAATTACACACAACACTGGACAAACACAACGAGAAACTTATAGGACACTAATTACGCCAAAACAGAAACAGGTGTGGAAACAAACAGACAAAAGCAAACGAACATGAAACATACAGCGGTGGCAGCTAGAATTCCGGAGACGACGAACGCCGAAACCTGCCCGAACAAGGGAGAGAGGCAGCCTCGGCCGAAACCGTGACAGTACCCCCCCCTTGACGCGCGGCTCCAGACGTGCGCCGACTCCGGCCTCGGGGACGACCAGGAGGACGCGGAGCAGGGCGCGTCGGATGCCCCCGATGGAATTCCGTCAGGAGCGACGGGTCCAAAACGTCTCTCCTCGGCACCCAGCACCGCTCCTCCGGACCGTACCCCTCCCACTCCACTAGATACTGGAGACCCCCCATCCGACGTCTCGAATCCAAGATGGATCTCACGGAGTACGCCGGTGCCCCCTCGATGTCCAACGGGGGCGGAGGAGTCTCCAAGATCTCATTTTCTTGGAGTGGGCCCGCTACCACCGGCCTGAGAAGGGACACATGGAACGAGGGGTTAATACACTTATACTCCACAGGTAGCTGTAATCTATAACATACCTCGTTCAACCTTCTCAGGACTTTAAATGGCCCTACAAACCGCCGACCCAGTTTCCGACAGGGCAGGCGGAGGGGCAGGTTTCTGGTAGAGAGCCAGACTCGATCACCAGGTGCGTACACCGGTGCCTCACTGCGGTGGAGATCAGCGCTCGCCTTCTGACGTCGGAGGGCCCGCTGCAGGTGGACGTGTGCAGCGTTCCAAGTCTCCTCTGAGCGCCGCGCCCACTCATCCACCGCAGGAGCCTCGATCTGGCTCTGCTGCCAGGGTGCCAGAACCGGCTGGTAACCTAACACACATTGAAATGGAGTTAGGTTAGTGGAGGAATGGCGTAGGGAATTCTGGGCCATCTCGGCCCAGGGAACGTACCTTGACCACTCCTCCGGCCGGTCCTGGCAGTATGTTCTGAGAAACCTACCCACATCCTGGTTTACGCGTTCCACCTGCCCATTACTCTCCGGGTGGTAACCCGAGGTGAGGCTCACCGAGACCCCCAACCGCTCCATAAACGCTCTCCAGACTCTGGAGGTGAATTGGGGACCCCGATCAGCCACAATGTCCTCGGGTACCCCGTAGTGCCGGAACACATGGGTAAACAGTGCCTCTGCAGTTTGTAGGGCAGTAGGAAGACCCGGCATGGGGAGCAAACGACAGGCCTTAGAGAACCGGTCCACAACGACCAGGATGGTAGTATTCCCTTGGGAGAGGGGAAGGTCTGTTATAAAGTCCACTGAGAGGTGGGACCATGGTCGTTGTGGAACGGGCAGGGGTAGCAACTTACCCCTAGGTAGATGTCTAGGCGCCTTACACTGGGCGCACACCGAGCAGGAGGAAACATAAACCCTCACATCCCTTGCCAACGTGGGCCACCAGTACTTGGCACTAAGACAGTGCACTGTCCGGCCGATACCCGGATGTCCAGAGGAGGGTGACGTGTGAGCCCAATAGATCAATCGATCCCGAACCTCGAGCGGAACGTACTTCCGACCCTCCGGGCACTGTGGTGGACTAGGGTCGGTGCGTAACGCCCGCTCGAGTTCAGCATCGACCTCCCACACTACCGGTGCCACCAGACACGACTCAGGCAGTATGGGAGTGGGCTCCACGGACCTCTCCTCCGTGTCATACCGCCGAGACAGCGCATCTGCCTTGCCATTCTGTGACCCAGGGATGTACGTGATCTTAAAAGTAAACCTGGTCAAGAACATACTCCATCTTGCCTGGCGAGGGTTCAGCCTCCTCGCCGCCCGGATGTACTCCAGGTTACGGTGGTCCGTCAAAATGAGGAAAGGGTGTTGAGCCCCCTCAAGCCAGTGCCTCCACACCTTTAGAGCCTGTACCACGGCTAACAGCTCCCTGTCCCCTACGTCATAGTTCCGCTCCGCCGGACTGAGCTTCTTAGAATAAAAAGCACAGGGGCGGAGTTTAGGTGGCGCGCCAGACCGTTGTGAAAGCACGGCTCCTAAACCGGCCTCCGACGCGTCCACCTCTACCTGGAACGGCAAAGAGGGATCCGGATGCGCCAGCACCGGGGCCGAGGTAAACAGGTCCTTCAGCCTCCCAAACGCCCTGTCCGCCTCGGCCGACCACTGCAGACGCACCGGACCCCCCTTCAACAGAGACGTGATGGGAGCTGCCACCTGTCCAAAACCCCGGATAAACCTCCTGTAGTAATTTGCAAACCCCAAAAACTGCTGCACCTCCTTCACAGTGGTTGGTGTTTGCCAATTACGCACGGCCGACACCCGGTCTACCTCCATCTTCACCCCTGACGCAGACAACTGATAACCCAAAAAGGAGACCGACTCCTGGAAAAACAGACACTTCTCTGCCTTCACATACAGGTCGTGCTCCACCAGCCTCCGCAACACTCTACGCACCAGGGCCACATGCTCGACACGGGTAGGTGAGTACACGAGAATGTCATCAATGTACACCACCACCCCCTGCCCCTGCATGTCCCTGAAGATCTCATCCACAAATGATTGGAAAACTGACGGAGCGTTCATCAACCCGTATGGCATGACCAGATACTCGTAATGGCCCGAGGTGGTACTAAAGGCTGTTTTCCATTCATCACCCTCCCTGATGCGCACCAAGTTGTACGCGCTCCTGAGATCTAATTTCGTGAAGAAACGCGCCCCATGCAACGACTCAGTCATGGTCGCAATCAGCGGGAGTGGATAACTATACTTCACCGTAATCTGATTGAGACCACGGTAATCGATGCACGGGCGCAAACCACCATCCTTTTTCTTCACGAAAAAGAAACTCGAGGACGCAGGGGAAGTGGAAGGCCGTATGTATCCTTGTCTCAGCGATTCGTCTATGTAAATCTCCATAGCTTTCTTCTCCTCCTGAGACAGAGGATACACATGGCTCCGTGGGAGCGCAGCTCCTGCCTGGAGGTCTATCGCACAATCCCCCTGCCTATGGGGTGGCAACCGCGTCGCCCTCGCCTTACTAAACGCAATAGCCAAATCCCCATACTCAGGTGGAACGTGCAATGCGGGCACCTGGTTTGGACTCTCCACCGAGGTAGCCCCTACGGAAACGCCCAAACATCTACCCACACACTGAGCAGACCACTCCATCAGAGCCCTCTCCTGCCACGAAATAGCTGGGTTATGGGTACTCAACCAGGGCATGCCCAGCACCACCGGATACGCAGGAGAGTCAATCAGGAACAGCTGAATCATCTCCTGATGATCCCCCTGCGCACACATCCTAAGTGGCGCCGTGACCTCCCTGATTAAGCCCGTACCCAACGGACGACTATCTAGGGCGTGAACGGGAAAAGGAACATCAACAGGAATGAGGGGAATCCCTAACGCTAAACAAAACTTTTTATCAATAAAATTCCCAGCCGCGCCTGAATCTACCAGCGCCTTATGCTGGGAATGAGGTGCTACCTGTGGAAAACGTACAGGCATACAAAAATGGGCAACAGTGAGCTCTGGGTGAGTGGGGCGCCTACTCACCTGGAGGGAATCCCCAGTGCGGGACCTGTCGTCATCTCCCCTAGGAGGCCATCCCCAGCACCTAGCCGCGGTGTGTCCTCCCCGACCACAGTTGGTGCAGTGGATGGACCCCCTAGCCTGCCGACTCCTCCTCTCTCTAGCGCCAGCGCCCCCGAGCTCCATAGGACACGGCTCGGAGGCGCTGGAGGGTGAAATGGACGGACCCTCCGCAGGACGTCCGCGGGTAGCCAGTAGGTTATCCAGCCTGATGGACATGTCAACCAGCTGGTCGAAAGAGAGGCTGGTGTCCCTACAAGCCAGCTCCCGACGGACGTCCTCTCGTAGGCTACATCTGTATAGATCGATGAGGGCCCGATCATTCCACCCTGCATCTGCCGCTAGAGTACGGAATTCGAGCGCGAATTCCTGGGCACTTCTCCTCCCCTGCCGGAGGAAGACCAGACGCTCCCCCGCCGCTTTCCCCTCCGGGGGATGGTCAAACACCGCCCTGAAGCGGCGGGAGAACTCGTTGTAAGTAATCGTCGTGGCGTCGATCTTCCTCCACTCCGCGTTGGCCCACTCCAACGCTTTTCCGGCCAGGCAGGAGATCAGGGCGGACACGCTCTCATGCCCTGAAGGTGCCGGGTGCACTGTGGCCAGGTATAGCTCCACCTGGAGTAGGAATCCCTGACACCCAGCCGCGGTTCCGTCGTAGGCCCTCGGGAGAGATAGTCGGACTCCTCGAGGTTCCGGCGCTGGAATGGGCGGGCTGGCCGATGGTGCTGGCAGGGCGGGAGGCGGTGGAGGCGTACCCCAGCCTCGGAGGGTGGAAATCACCTCCTGCAGGGCGGTCCCCATCTGCAGGAGCTGATCTTGTTGGTCCCGAACCTGGGCCTCCAGTCTCGTCTGGGCTGCTTCGGCTCCTGCTGATTCCATAGATGGTGTGTAATTCTGTCAGGGCGTGCTGTAGGTGCAATGGTGGAATCAAACGCAGGACTCAGAACGATATTCCAATCTCTTGTATTACTGCCCATACATAGGCAAAAAGGACAACTTGGCCCGAAGGCGAAAATTACGCACAACGGCGAAAAGAAACAGCGCACAAACAGGTGCGACAAAATGTAACCGCGCACAAACAGGTGCGACCAAATGTAACCGCGCACAAACAGGTGCGATAATACTCCAGCGTAGTGGAGAGAAGCTCAACCGAGCAATACACACAACTGACGGAAAATAATTACACACAACACTGGACAAACACAACGAGAAACTTATAGGACACTAATTACGCCAAAACAGAAACAGGTGTGGAAACAAACAGACAAAAGCAAACGAACATGAAACATACAGCGGTGGCAGCTAGAATTCCGGAGACGACGAACGCCGAAACCTGCCCGAACAAGGGAGAGAGGCAGCCTCGGCCGAAACCGTGACACCTACAGTTCCCTACAGTTACCTACAGCTCCTTACAGTTACATACAGTTCCCTACAGTTCCCTACAGTTACCTACAGTTTCCTACAGTTACCTACAGTTACCGACAGTTCCCTACAGTTACCTACAGTTTCCTACAGTTCCCTACAGTTTCCTACAGTTACCTACAGTACAGCACAGACACAATTGTTACTCTACTACCACACACTGCACAGCACATACTGTGAACACTACTCCTAGATGTATCAGTGTACTCTGGTCCTGTGTGTTGGCTATGCACTGCTCATTTTGTAAATGTAGGCTGCGTCCCAAATACTTGTGTGTTGGCTATGCACTGCTCATATTGTAAATGTAGTCCCAAATGGCACCCTATTCGCTACATAGTGCCCTATGGGCGCTGGTCAAAAGTAGTGCACTATATAGGAAGGAATAGGGTGCCATTTAGGATGCTGCCATACCCCTTATGACATGTTTTGTGAGTCTAACAACCCAATTGTCTTTCCCTCAGGAGCCAGTGCAAGAGAAACCCATGGCGTTTCACAGTCATGCAGGCTATGACAGGTGTGTGGCCATACCTTCTGACCTTGACTAGAGTGTTGTTAAGATGTTATTCCCCAATGTACAGTACAGGGGCTGTAGTGGGTACAATGAGGGTGACCCTGATTATCTGTGAATAATAAACCTATAACACTACTCTATGTGACAATGGACACCTGGCCCTGTCAATCCTGAATGTTTTCTCACTGAAATGTTAACCTTCGAATCCAGTGACTACACCAGAGTGCCATCTTAGTGAGACGCACACATAAGATCTCTATCTCTGTGCCACAAGCAGAAAGAGAGAGAGAAATAGAGGAAAGAGTGTTAAAAGTGTTCTTTGAGTCCATATTTCTTTATCTCTGCCAAAAGCAGAAAGAGAGTGACAGAGGGAGAGAGAGGGAGAGAGAGGGAGAGAGAGAGAGAGGGAGAGAGGGAGAGAGAGGGAGAGAGAGAGAGAGAGAGAGAGAGAGAGAGAGAGAGAGAGAGAGAGAGAGAGAGAGAGAGAGAGAGAGAGAGAGAGAGAGAGAGAGAGAGAGAGAGAGAGAGAGAGAGAGGAGTGTTAAAAGTGTTATTTACCTCATTCATATCCCTACCTTTAGCTTCAACTCAGATGTGGCGTCGGGTAAGGAGATGAGTGATGGCTACGATGGCTTGTCCAGCAGCGGGAAGGGGGACGGGAAGCCCCGGAAACACCACCGCAAGTCGACCCGCACACGCTCACGCCAGGAGAAGACCAACAAGCCCAAACTGAGCATGCTCAATGTAAGTCCGTCCGTCCAGACTACCCACCTTTCCGAACTGACCAGTGGTCAAAGTTTTAGCCATTCTTAAGCTATTCAGTAAGTCGAAAGGGAAAAATTTAAAACAGAAATGACCATTTATACTGTATATTCATATATTGCTATATTCAAAGTATATGCATATTCGTACTTGCACATTTAAAGTAATTTCTCTTTCTCCCTCAGGTGAGCAACACGGGCAATAAGATGGTGGAGTCCCAGCTGGAGACCCACAACCACAAAATGGTGACCTTCAAGTTTGACCTGGACGGAGATGCTCCAGAAGAAATCGCTATTTACATGGTGAGGTCATGACCTTGGCAGACCTGTCTGCGTCCCAAATGGGGGGTGGGGGGTTGTTGAGTTCTACTAAGGTAACATTGTTTTAAGATGGTCATGACATGAATCATTTAGCTATTTGAATTTGAATTTTAGGATCCCTTTAGGCCTTTAGGCCTTTACTCCTATAGCCCATAGAAACGCATTGAATAACAACAGATTCATGAATGGCAAAAAAGACAGTGAAAAAATGTAACATAAGGAATAAGGTTTTGAAGAGTCTGTCCTATATCTAGGAGATGTGAGAAAGCTCAGGATTAATTGAATTTGGCCTTTACTACTATAGCCCATAGAAACACATTGAATAACACATTCATAAATGGCAAAAAAGACAGCCTAAATATATATCATAAGGAATAAGGTTTTGAATTGTCTGTTCTATATCTAGGAGATATAAGAAAGTTAATGAAATATGACAGCGACATGATTTTGGAGGTATGACAACGCGTGACTACTACTGAGCTAACATATGGAATTGTTTTAAGATAGTCATACCATGGATCATTTTGCTATTGAATTTTAGGACCCCTGTAGGTATAAAAAACTATAGAAAAATGAATTTGATTAAACACATTGAATAACAGATTCATACAATGAAAAAACTGTCCAAACTCTAGAAATCTCTTAACTGATGGATTTTGAATTTTTTTATGTTACTTAGATTGACGCACGGGTGCTCTTAAGGATTAATGGACCAATTAGAATAGTCCCAAAACTGCAAAGCACGCCGTCTGCCACTCTAGGCAGGCTAGAGCAAACGCTCAAAGGCTTATGGACCTTGGGTTCCTCCTCTGTCTGTCTGGGATTTACTGAGAAAAGCTATTTTGAGAGCTTCTGAAGAGATCTTTTAATATTTCAATGGGGCCACCAAGCTCAATGCACTATAGCAGAAGATATGGGAAATGAATGTAGCCTGTACTGTTGGGTCATCCACTTCACTATTTATAGTGTTTCCCTATGTCATTTGACGTTTCCTCTGCTGAAATGGTATAATTATGTTACGATTGTTCCTGAAGTGATATTTACGTGTGGTTACATCCTGTGTGTGGTGTCCATGTGTGTGGTGTCCGTGTGTGTGTGTGTGTGTGTGTGTGTGTGTGTGTGTATAGGCAGAGAATGGCTTCATCCTGCCCATAGAGAAGGAGATGTTCATTGATCAGTTGAAGGACATCGTGGACAAGGCTGAAGATATGCTGAGTGAGGAGATGGAGGGAGAGACGTACTCCGCTCTGGGGGGCAGTCCCCAACTAGGACACACCTCTTGGGGGCCGGGGGGAGAGGTGAGGGGGACATCCCAAACAAAAAAAACAAAAAAGAACAAAAAAAAAGGAGTGGTTGTCCCACTGGCTATCCTAAGTTGAATGCACCAATTTGTAAGTCGCTAAATGACTTAAATGTTAAATGTAACTCACTAACACATAGACACTAATCTACTCACATTAACGTTTATGAAGAAACCACGCACACACACGTACGCACACACACGTACTCACACACACGTACTCACACACCCGTACTCACACACACGTACACACACTCAAATGTCTGTGTTCTGTCTGTCTCTCTATCTCTCTAAAGAGTCAGCAGCCTGGAGCACCCCAGCCTGTTTATCAGCAGAATGGTAATACTCCATTCTCTCTCTCTTCCTTTGTCTCCCTCTCCTTTATCCTCTATCTATTCTGGTTGTGAGTGGGATGTCTGTGGAGGAAGGTTTTGAAAGGAGTTTGTACTGAGGACTGTTTGGGTGGGTTGAGTAACTTTGTGATGTTTGGTGCAATAGCGATAGTGTGAGCGGGAGAGAGAGAAAGAGAAGAGGAGAGAGACTAGAGTAGAGAGAGAAGTAGAGCGAAAGAAGATGGAGAGAGAGAGAGAGAGAGAGAAAGAGAGAGAGAGGAGAGAGACGAAGAGAGCAGAGAGAGAGAGCGAGAGCGAGCTAGAGAGAGAGAGAGGAAGAGAAAAGAGAGTCGAGAGGAGAGAGAGAGAGAGAGGGGAGAGAGAAGCGAGAGAGAGGGAGAGAGAGAGAGGCGAGAGGAGCGGAGCGATGCAGCAGATATCGATGCGAGGCGCTTAGAGATAGCCAGAGATGAAGCGAGAGTGAAGCCAGATCTCATCTCTCTATATTCTCAGCTTCCCCTTCGCTTCTCTCTCTACTCTTATCACGCCTCTCTCTATCTCTATCCTCTCTCTTCTCTCTCTCATTCTCTCTCTCTCTCTCTCTCTTTTCTCTCTCTCTCTCTCTCTCAGTGCTCCACACAGGGAAGAGATGGTTTCATCATCTGCCCAGTGCAGGAGACTCCCACCTCCAGCCAGGATGGGACCACAAACATGTCTGCCGATGGGACTACAACTACTCAACATGATGGGACTACAACTGCACAGCCTGATGGGAGTGCGGTGTCAGGCAAGTCTGCTGATGGTGGCACTGCTTCAGGCAGAGGTGACATTGTTTCCATGTAACCATTTCAGTACTATGTCATCCTGGTGGAGTAACGGTACCATGTTGCCCTCTAGTGCTGAAAGAATGATCGACATCCTCCAAATATGCACTTTAGTTTGAAATATTATCTGTTTAAGGTCTTTGGATGTGGGCCTGTTGTACAATTGTAGACAAACAGGATATTACTCTTATATTGTGTCTTCTTTTGGTTCCTCATGCAGTATCAGCGTCCTCCTCCATAGCTAACTCTGTGTCTGGGGGAAGTGGAGGCTTCAACAATGAGGGCTATGGCCTCTGTAGCCCTCCCATCCTGTCCTCCACAGACCCTCTCCTCCTGGCTATGTCCCATGTCCCAGCTCCCTCTGGCCCCCCATCTGTTCACCCAGGCCATCCTCCAGAAGCCCAGCCAGCCTTCGCTCCGCCAGCGGCCCCCTCTGGAGGTCTCCGTAGCTCTCTGCCTGGAGAGGAGCACCAGGTGGGAGGGCGTCTTGGTGCCGTCCAGCAGATGGCAGAGATGGCATGCGCTGCCTCCATGGTGGAGGAGGTGCCCTGCTGCCCGCTGGCCATGCCAATGTCCCTGGACGTGAGTGGTGGAGCCCAGGGGAGCTCAGCTCCTCTAACCCCTCTGCCCCCCCAGGACTCCTCTCCCTCCTCAGCCAGAGAGTCCCTCTCCTACCCCTCCGTTGCCCACAGCGACCGCTCCCAGCCATCTGTGGTTGTCCAGCAGCCCTTCTCCTCCATGGGCGGAGCAAAGGCCCCCTCGCTGCCCCAGAGCCCTGCCACCCACCAGCACACGGCAGGGGGGCCCAGTGAGTCGGACGGGGAGGGGCGAGGGGTGGGGGTTCGAGGGGGCTTTGTGGACAGCACCATCAAGACTCTAGACGAGAAGCTGAGGAACCTGCTGTACCAGGAGTACGCCCCCATGTACCCATCAGGCAGTGCTGCGGAGACGCCTGGCTCGGGGACGGAGTACGTCCAATCCCCTCCTGGGCCAGACAGCGCAACCTTGGGTTCAGGAAGCAGCACCCCCGGACCTATGGGGGAGGGGCGCTACCGGACAGGGGAACAGCTGGTAAACACAGAACCTTTATTCCGTATAAATCATAGGATGAGTTCCAAATGGCACCCTATTATTCCCTAAATAGTGCAGTACATTTGGGATGCAACTATACTTTCTGTTCAGAGATGTATTTTGTCCTTAAAAGTAACTTTACCCACACCCCAGACTACACGTACAGTACATGCAATCTATATATACCATTCATCCTTAAATGTTGACCATTCTTCCTTTAAAATGACTGCGCTTTATTCTCTCCCTGTCAACCCCCACACCATACACTCTCTTTCTGTTTCACTTCTCTCTTTTCCCCTCCCTCCCTCCCTCCCCACTCTTTCTTTCAGCCTCAGATTCCAGAGAGGATGGACAGTTTGAGCACGTTGAGTGATTCTGCGGTGTGTGGTACGTACATTCTACAGTGTGGTATGAAGGATACAACTTTAATGGTGATCCCTCAAACAGCTGTCTATGACAATGATCAATTACAAGATCCACAGAGGTTTCAATGATTTTCCTTTAACTTATTGAACAGCTGTTATTGTAGTCATTTAGATAGAGAACCTGGACATTCAGTCTCTCTCTCGCTGTCTGCAGCCCCCGTGTCTAGGAGACAAAACATACCCCACTCTACCTCCTGCTCTGGCTCTGGATCCAGAGGCCGGTTTAAGGTACTTTACTGTGTTACATTGTTGTTCCCCATTGCTACCTCTAGTGGTGCAACACCTCTTATTGACTCCTTCTACCTACAATGCCTGACTAACCTCTTATAAATTAAGTTTTGTAAACGGCAAATGTGATATTGTGGACTGATATTATAATTACCTGTTTGTTTCATTTCTGCAAAGTAGGTATAAACGTGTCAGAGCTCTTTATACAATAACTTTATCATTGCTGTTGTCAACCATGTCTATAGATGATCACAGGCCTTCCTGACATGGTGACGCAAGGAGAGCGGAAACAGAGGAGGTGGAGCAGCGCTGCCTCCCCGGCGCACCCTGCTGGCCATCTCTCAGACCACCGTAGTGGTGCCGGGGCCATGGCCATGGCCCCCTCCACCATTATCGGACGTTTCTCGGTGGTCAGCACCGAGGACGACGTCACCCTGAGTACCTGCGGCAGTCGCTACTCTGCCCCGCCAGACTTCTACCTGGATACACCCCCCGCCATGGCCAAACGGGGGTCGTTGCCACGCGCCTCCACGTCCACCTCCGTGTCTGTTGATGTTACGGTCCACGCTCACGCGCGCTTCCTGTCCTCAGACTCGGGGGCGGAGAGTAGTCCGGCCAAGCTGGCCCCGGACACGCCATCACGCCACGGCCGCTCAGGGGAGCGTAGAGGAAGTGACCTCATGAAGAGGGCGGTGGCTTTCCTGCGTCGTTCAGGCCGTAGTAGTAGTGTGCAGAGCTCTGATTCGCTGAGCCGGCAGGGGGGCGTGCATGGCTCGGCCTATGTCAGCAGTGATAATGACTCTGAGATGGAGGACTCGGATATGAAGAGAGAGCTGACCAGACTCAGGGAGAAGTAAGTAAGCTGTGTGTTTGTGTGTGTGGGTGTGTCTGAGTCTAGAAGACCATCATCAGAGTAAGGCAACTTACCCTTTATCTAAAACCTTTCTCTCCCCTCCCTCAATCTCCTCCACCCAGACATTTAAAGGAGCTCTCGGAGCTGCAAGCCCACCACAGAGGGGAGATAGAGCTGTTGTACCGCAGGCTGGGTAAAGCCACTCCACCCCCCCTGGGTCTCTCTCACACAGCTCCCCCCAAGCGAAGGAGCAAGCACAAGCACAAAATGAAGGCTGGAAAACTCCTCAGTCCTCTGGTACAACAGCTGAGGCATGTCACCACCAAAACCAGCGACCCCAGAAAAACCAGTGAGTACAAATCACCAAAACCAGTCACTTCTGAAAGATGATCTGAAAGATACTTCTGAAAGGGACTGAAACAGGCTTGTCTGCATGATTTAAAGCAGGCAGGTCCTCAGGTGTCAGGCAAGGTAACTGTCATAATTTGAATAGAGTAGCAGGGCTAAGTTGTAATAATGTGTATGGCTGCGTCCCAAATGGCGCACTATTCCCTGTTTAGTGCATTACCTATATGGGCCCTGGTCAAAAGTAGTGCACTTAATAGGGAATAGGGTGCCATTTGTAATGCACATTAAGTCTATCTGTGTAGGTTTCTGTGTGTAATATTTATGTTGGTCTGTCTGTGCAGGTGAGCCTACAGTCAGTCTGAACGGGTCTCCAGCCAAAGCTCCTGTACAGTCAGACAGCAGAGCCCGTTCAGGTACCAGTCCCTTGGATACCGTCACCTCTACCTCTGAACCTGTCCAGACCAAGCAGCCCTGCTCCCTCAAGGGTTCCCTCTCTTCAGACAACATATACGCTGGAGCTGGACTACAAGGAGAGAGGACAGGACCACAAGCTTCACCAGGCCAAGGTGACCTACAAATTACACGTCCCAGTCATGCAAAATGAGAACATTATCACTAGGGTTACAAAATTCTGGTAACTTTCCCAAATTTCCAAGGTTTTCCAAAACTCCTGGCAGGAGGAGTCCAGATTTCCTGCTTATTCCCTCCTGATTTCGTGAATATTCCAACTGGGATTTCTGGAAAACCTGGGAATTTTGGGAAAATGTGCGGAATTTTGCAACCCTAACTATCTATTTTATTACAGTAATGTCACTGAAGTGGCAAACTACAGATACAGATACAGATTCTGGGTCATTCTCATGTTTAGAGTAACGGCTGCAATATGGGATGCCTTAGCAAATATGTTTCATATGATGGAACACGTAAAGTCGTATCACAGGTACAGAGGAGGATCAAAACGGAAGTAGGATGGTGCAACATTTCAGTCACATCAACCTTAATCAGGCATCTGCAGCCTTTAACCTTTATTGTTCTGACACCGGTTGTTGTTCAAACTCATTTCTAATGTGGGTTCTGGTCAGAGCTGTGTGCTCTTCTTACCCTGGTGTCCTCTGCTTCCTCTCCTCCTTTACTCCTCTTCTCCTTTCCTCCTCTTGTCCTCCTCTGCACAGGCTGGCCATCTTACCCTCCACCGCCAGAGAGAGTGACCTATAAATCCAGTAGCAAACCACGCGCTAGATTCCTCAGTGGGCCTGTGTCTCTGTCTATCTGTTTGTATCTCCTCCTCTCCTCTCCTCCTCCTCTCCTCCTCGTCCTCCTGCACTGCTCTCCTTTCTCTAATCCTCTTTCCTCCTCTTCTTCTCTCTTCCTTGGCTCTCCTCCTCTTTACTGTCCCACTCCTATCCCTCATCTCTTCATCTCCTCATCCTCTAGCTTTTCTCTTTCTTCTCCCCCTCTTTTGTCTTCCTCCCCCATCTATCCTCTCCTCTGTGTGTCTCTGTCTCTCTGTGCTACAGTGAAATGTTTCGCTCTGTCTGTTGTGCTTGGCTGATGAGTAGTGCATGTGAAGTATAGTGATGCACTGCAGCAGCACTGTGTGCTCAGCTCACTCTTACTCTCTGCTCCTGCCTGTCTGCTCGGCACAGATCCTCTCAATGTGTCTCTGCGTAGTGGACCCCGTCTGCATGGCTACACACAGCCACTGTTATGTTGCGCCCTGTTGGTTAGGATCTCTCTCTCTCTCTCTCTCTCTCTCTCTCTCTCTCTCTCTCTCTCTCTCTCTCTCTCTCTCTCTCTCTCTCTCTCTCTCTCTCTCTCTCTCGCTCTGTCTCTCTCTCTCGCTCTGTCTGTCTCTCTCTCTCTCTCTCTCTCTCTCTCTCTCTCTCTCTCTCTCTCTCTCTCTCTCTCTCTCTCTCTCTCTCTCTCTCAATCTCGCTCTCTCTCGCTCTCTCTCGTTTTCTCTCTCAGAGCTCTTACAGTTCTGTGGCTCACTTCTAGAGTGACTGCATGATTGGCCTTGTCCTTTCGTATTCAGATAGTTGACTGAACCGTGCTTTCCCACAGTGTTATGTACTGTATGTGATGTTGCATATGGCCATTGAGAAGCTCTGTGCAGCAGTGTGTCTGTATGTTTGTAGACGTATGTCTGTGTGTTTATGTCTTCATGCTGCATGGAGTCCTAACTCTGTTTGTCCCATAGGGTCAACTCTGAAACGACTCTGCCTTGGTAAAGAGCGTGGAAGGGGTAAGTATAACTTGCAGCAAAGACATTAGCCATTTGGAAAACCCCATATACACTGTTTTCCTTCACCAAAGCTCCTCTCATAAGCACATTTTATTAGATAGAATGCATTTTATAAACAGGATTGGCTATCTAGTATTTGTTTTAGCTACATTTAGTTAGAATAACATGCTTTAGCAACAGAGCTAGTTGGAACTTGAGGCAGGGTCTGAACAATATGTCCATCTCCCAGGGACTGTAGCAGACCCAGGCCCAGGCCCAGGTGCATCTACCCAGCTGCCCCAACAACAGACAGCCAGCTCCACCCCTCCTCCCCGCCAGCCAATAGCAGGGTTGGCCCAAGCCCAGGCCAACAACAGCAACAACAAGACAGACACCTACACCGGCACCTACATGGGCTCCTACGCAGGGTCCTTCACAGACGCCCTTCACAGGATAGTGGATGATTGGACCATGGAGGCCCTGTGTGTCTCCCGGCGCCCGCGGACCAGCTCCCTCAGCCTCAGTGGGCAACCACTTTGGAACGAGGACCCCGGGGGGCCCAGAATAAGAGACAGACTGTTCAGCGCTCCAGATGTGAGTAGTTGTTGTATGTGTGTTTATGTACTACCCATTATTTATTAGTAGGGGTGTAGCTAAATGTAATGTGTGTTTGTGGGGAGAGCGTGTGTATAGTTCAGGCCTGGATTCAAATGGTGTTTGTTTTCTTTAAAATGATCAAATCATTTAACTCCACTTGATGGAGCATGTTTGGCACAATAGAACCGATGGAATAGTCCTACAAGTGCAAGCCCTGCCAGCTGGCAATCCAGGCAACTTAATCAAATGTTTAATGTATTTAAAAGAAAACAAATACTATTTCAAGTCAGGTCTGGTATAGTCAAGGTGAAAGCCTGTGGTGACTGAAAGCTCACCTCCATATCTTTCGCTTCAGGCACCTGCCAGGACAGCCCTTGGCTCTGAAGGCCCCCAGCTCCCCCTGTCATGGCCGATGATTGACAACCAGGCCCTGGGCTCAGTGATGAGGACCAGCTCCCCGGGACAGGCAGGGTTCCATCCTGGCTACATGCTGGCCCATTCAGGCACAGACCTGTTTGGGGGGCTGCTGCCCTCACCCCTCTCGCCCCTCTGTGTAAGCCATTGGCCTGAGCTGCTGTGCCCCTTGGGTTCAGGGGTGGTTGCTTTACCTGCTGTGCCCCCAACCTGGGGCACCACCACCCCTGGTCCACCCTACGAGCCACCCGACCCCAAACCCAGGACCCTCTAACCGCTGTAGCATCATGTCTTCCAACTATGTGACCAAAATGAGTCATATGTAGTTAGAGCTCTAGTCTTCTCTACCCACAATATGTAAACTGTTTCTATTTAACCAGCATCTATGTATATAATACGCATTTGTATATACACTGAGTGTACAAAACATTAAAAACACCTTCCCAATATTTGCCCTCAGAACAGCCTCAATTCGTCGGGGCATGGACTCTACAAGGTGTCGAAAGCGTTCCACAGGGATGCTGGCCCATGTTGACTCCAATGCTTCCCACAGTTGTGTCAAGTTGGCTGGATGTCCTTTGGGTTGTGGACCATTCTTAATAAACACGGAAAACTGTTGCGCGTGAAAAACCCAGTAGTGTTGCAGTTCTTGCCTGGCACCTACTACCATATCCCGTTCAAAGGCACTTAAATATTTTGTCTTCCCCATTCACACTCTGAATGGCACACATACACAATCCATGTCTCAATTGTCTCAAGGTTTAACAATATTTGTTAACCTGTCCCTTACTCTTTACCTACACTGGTTGAAGTGGATTTAACAAGTCACATCAATAAGGGATCATAGCTTTCACCTGGATTCACCTGGTCAGTCTATGTCATGGAAAGAACATGGAAAGTTCTTCATTTTTTGTACACTCACTGTATGCTGTTATCAATGTGTGTGACATTATCAACCTCAATTGACATACCTCATATTTATGTATGTAAGGGACATATGTATATCTTATCACCTGTGTGAATGTGCTGTAGTGTATATAAATAAGGTGTATGTGCATAATCCATTCGTTTGTGTATAAAGCTTTTGTGTATTTACATGATCTATTTGTATATTATTCATTCATACTGTAAGTCTTTGTACATAAACTGTTCATGTTTGTGTGTAAATCACCCATATGTGTGTACAGAATGTGTATGTATATACAGTAACCCCTGTGTGTGTTTTTGTGTGAGTGTGTGTACAGTAGGTGCTGCAGGGCTCTGTCCTAACTCAGCAGAGAGCCATTCACCATCATGCCATCACTGTGAAGCCTTGTCACCCTGGTTAACAGCCTGGTCATCCTGGTTACCAGCCTTGTCACCCTGTTTACCAGCCGTATCACCCTGGTTACCAGCCTGGTCACTCTGGTTGCCAGCTGTGTCGCCCTGGTTACCAGCCTGATCCCCCTGGTTAAAAGCCTGGTCCCCCTGGTTACAAACCCGGACTATCTGGTTACCAGGACCCTCTGCTTTATTACTCTGCTATTTATGTTGTAATATATTTCAACTTCCTCAAACTTCATTGAAACGCATACAACACAAGTGCTTGAAATAGTCTGAAGAAATGTGGAAGAACTTGAACTTAATCTTCAGGAGAAATATCCTGGGAGAGTGCCTTGAACAGTAGTTTCAATTAATTCTGGAGACAAGCATGAGGCCATTTGAGATAAGATAGGATAATATGGTCATGTTATGTGTATGGTTTTGCCTTCAGAGGTACTAGATATATTTGTGTGATTCACTTATGAATGTTGTATTTAGGGACAAAAACTGGTTGGTTAGTTTCAGGTTGCCAATTTAGAATGTTGGGAGTATGACCCTGTTATTGGTTGTTTTGTGAATATTATAATAACAGATGGTAAAGTATCGCCTTTAGTACTGTAAGATTCACACATGGCACTGAAGCTATGTTAGTCCCTTTGTCCAGAAGCTTGTACAAAGTAGTAGCTACATGATTTTGCTCAACACTTACAACAACCTGCATGAACAAACACTGAAGCTTGCACAGGATAAAAGGTGGAGAGTCAGACCTTAGCATTCTCTGGGTGATAACTAGCGTTACTTGGCTGTCATTAAGGGAGTAAACATTTCACTGTTAGGCCACACCTGTTGTTTACAAAGCATGTGACGAATACAATTTGATTTGATTTGATTAACATCGTGCAATAAACAGTGGATGTTTCATACTGTACTGAAGCCGGCTATAGGTGATTTCTCCTACAGTATGCCTCATTGTAGGTTTGAATTGTTTACCTTAAAAAGAGTTAAGTGTGGTTTTGGAGGGTTAATGCATGAGATGTACACAGTAACGTATGACATATATGGATGTTAGAGGCAGGTATGATATGTGATATATTGCAGGACCTAAGCAAGTAGACTAATGTAAAGACAATGCAATACCTATTGGGATACACATTATATACTGTATATTTGGGGTTTATGTATGGTTAAAAAAGTAATAATGTACAATAAGGAGTTTCATCATTGTTGTAAAATCAGTCATAATCTGTTTCATAAGGATCATAAAGATACAGTAACACAGTAACTCCTGCTGTGCTGTGGGTTGATGACAGAGAAGTCATCTTTTAAATGCACAGTTTTGCTACTGATCTTCTGTGGTCCTGAGATTCCTAACAAGACCAGCCTAGTGTGTAGAAATCAATGCTTCTTTCAGTTTGGTTTTGTGTTGTATGATGCAATCATTTCAATCCAATACAACACACATCATCTTGTACAATAATACAATCATATCTATCAAAATAGTTCAGAAATCACATGACCTAAACAATCCAAGCAAAGGCTCTCAAGCCTGTGATTGTTTGTGAGATAAACAGTGTATTGCGATACTACATAGCTTTCTTTGCCAACCAGTTGGCAATTCTTGGAAATTACTGATTTGCTTGTTATGGTTTGAAACCCTTTCGTAACTGTACAGTAAAATCAGTTTGAATGTAACTTTTCTAGTGGAATAGTGCAGAACAGAGCCATATTTACATATACACTCCATAACCAAAAGTATGTGGACACATGCTCATCGAATATTTCATTCCAAAATCATGGGCATTAATATGGAGTTTGTCCCCCCTTTGCTGTTATAACAGCCTCCACTCTTCTATGAAGGCTTCCCACTAGATGTTGGAACATTGCTGCGGGGACTTGCTTCCATTAGTGAGGTCGGGCACTGATGTTGGGCGATTAGGCCTGGCTCACAGTCTGCGTTCCAATTCATCCCAAAGGAGTTCGATGGGGTTGAGGTCAGGGCTCTGTGCAGGACAGTCAAGTTCTTTCACACCGATCTCGACAAACCATTTCTGTATGGACCTCGCTTTGTGCACGGGGGCATTGGCATGCTGAAACAGGAAAGGGCCTTCCCCAAACTGTTGCCACAAAGTTGGAAGCACAGAATCGACTAGAATATAATTGTATGCTGAAGCGTTAAGATTTCCCTTCACTGGAACTAAGGGGCCTAGTCCGAACCATGAAAAACAGCACCAGACCATTATTCCTCTTCCACCAAACTTTACAGTTGGCACTATGCATTGGGGCAGGAAGCGTTCTCCTGGCATCTGCCAAACCCAGATTCGTCCGTCGGACTGCCAGATGGTGAAGCGTGATTTATCACTCCAGAGAACGCGGTTCCACTGCTCCAGAGTCCAATGGCGGCGAGCTTTACACCACTCCAGCCGACGCTTGGCATTGCGCATGGTGATCTTAGGCTTATGTGCGGCTGCTCGGCCACGGAAACCCATTTCATGAAGCTCTCGATGAACAGTTATTGTGCTGACGTTGCTTCCAGAGGCAGTTTGGAACTCGGTAGTGAGTGTTGCAACCGAGGACAGACCATTTTTATTCGCCACGCGCTTCAGTACTCGGCGGTCCCATTCTGTGAGCTTTTGTGGCCTACCACTTCGCGGCTGGACTGTTGTTGCTCCTAAACATTTTCACTTCACAATAACAGCACTTATAGTTGACCAGGGCAGACATTTCAGAAACTGACTTGTTAGTAAGGTGGCATCCTATGACGGTGCCACGTTGAAAGTCACTGAGCTCTTCAGTAAAGCCATTCTACTGCCAATGTTTGTCTATGGAGATTGCATGGCTGTGTGCTCAATTTTATACACCTGTCAGGAACAGTGAATCCACTATTTTGAAGGGGTGTCCACATACTTTTGTATATATATATATATATATATATATATATATATATATATATATATATATATATATATACACTGCTCAAAAAAATTAAGGGAACACTAAAATAACACATCCTAGATCTGAATGAATGAAATAATCTTATTAAATACTTTTTTCTTTACATAGTTGAATGTGCTGACAACAAAATCACACAAAAATTATCAATGGAAATCAAATGTATCAACCCATGGAGGTCTGGATTTGGAGTCACCCTCAAAATTAAAGTGGAAAACCACACTACAGGCTGATCCAACTTTGATGTAATGTCCTTAAAACAAGTCATAATGAGGCTCAGTAGTGTGTGTGGCCTCCACATGCCTGTATGACCTCCCTACAACGCCTGGGCATGCTCCTGATGAGGTGGCGGATGGTCTCCTGAGGGATCTCCTCCCAGACCTGGACTAAAGCATCCGCCAACTCCTGGACAGTCTGTGGTGCAACGTGGCGTTGGTGGATGGAGCGAGACATGATGTCCCAGATGTGCTCAATTGGATTCAGGTCTGGGGAACGGGCAGGCCAGTCCATAGCATCAATGCCTTCCTCTTGCAGGAACTGCTGACACACACCAGCCACATGAGGTCTAGCATTGTCTTGCATTAGGAGGAACCCAGGGCCAACCGCACCAGCAAGTGGTCTGTGGTCACCACCTGCAAAACCAGTCCTTTATTGGGGGTGTCTTGCTAATTGCCTATAATTTCCACCTGTTGTCTATTCCATTTGCACAACAGCATGTGAAATGTATTGTCAATCAGTGTTGCTTCCTAAGTGGACAGTTTGATTTCACAGAAATGTGATTGACTTGGAGTTACATTGTGTTGTTTAAGTGTTCCCTTTATTTTTTTGAGCAGTGTTTATATATATATATATATATTGCAGTGCATTCGGAAAGTATTCAGACCCATTGAGTTTTTCCACATTTTGTTACAATACAGCCTTATTCTACAATTGATTAAATTGTATTTTTTCCCCCTCATCAATCTACACACTATACCCCGTAATGACAAAGCAAACATAGGTTTTTTGAATTGTTTGCAAATG